AACGTTACGCTACCGGGGCACCATTTCATTCCAACTCAGCTCTCCATGGTATACTCACCATAGCTTGTCAGCACTCATAACTATAGTAACTGGTAGCGCACTTGCCCGGAAAACGAGAGGTGCGGGTTCGAGTCCCGTCCTGGGGCGAAAGTTTTGTTCACAACCCAGCATTCTTGTGAAACTACCAGTACTGTTTTCAATGAAATCATAAGGTTGATCATAAGTAATGAGGGTTGTTCTTTCAAGAAAGGCCGAGAAAATGAAAGGATCTAGTAAGAACGAGAAAAAACACCTTGGTTCTGAAAAGAATTCATCCACTCACCCTACTGCCACTAACGGTTATCCTCCATTCCAGTTCAATCATCCTCGCAATCATTGTCCGCACGGCTGGATCGGTGCGATCAAAGCCGAGCAGCACGGCCATCTCTTCGCCAGTCTCTTGAAGCAATGAAGTCGCCTGTACAAACTGATTTCAGTAGTTATTCAAGGTTTCACGAATGCTATCCTTACCTGAGGACCCTCCTTGTTGAGAATCATCTCCGCTGTGACCGGTATATCGAACTGATAGACGCCTGGATTGAGCAACAACGGAAGCTGTTCATAAATCTGACGAAAGAAAAAATCAAATCAAAAGCATTTTTGACCAAAAAGTATTGAAGTAAACAGATAGAACCTAAACGAAACTCACAGTTATAAGATGAGTTTTCGAATCGAAATAGTTCACTTCGACTCCAGCCCAGAATAGAGGAAAAACTGAATAGTTGAAGGCTTGTAATACTGAGAGCTCGATGGGTATTGGTTGGACGTCTTGCACCAGCTCTCTCATCCAACCACCCATTTCCTGTATGAAAAAATCCGTAGATAACGGCATGTGAGCTCCAGCTTCATAATGTAAACAGCTATTAATCCTCAATGGATCTTTCACGCGTTCTGAATTAGCGAAGGGATAGAAAGGTAAATGCAACCCCGTTCCTTTCCCTCGATTAAATAGGATCAACCAAAGTTATCCGGCATTTCCTTTATTATTGCTTTCTTTTATTATTTCGAATTCAAATTGTGAAGAATACGGAGATAGTTAATTCCTTCAAATAGGCTTATACAACTACATGCGGGGGCCAGACGACGTACATGTCAGTGTTTTCAGCCTCTCGGACAAGTTTGGTACCAATTACATAGAGGG